AAAAAAAAAAAAAAAAAAGGTGAAGAGAGAGCAAGACTCGAGAAACGTCGCAGCTACCACGGCCGTAAGCACTCTGACAATCGCAAAACTATCTAAAGATCGGTGGCGCACAAGCCAAGATGCATCAAATTCTATTTTTTTAGGTTGAGTTTTGCTCATCTATTCATATCTTACGAGACTATAACAATATAATTTGTCGGCAGAACCAGAATGAATTGTCGCCATAAAAGAGGTAATAGAAGAAATTGCAATGTCGAAAAGCGTACTTACTTATTTGCACGTTTCACATTTCCTGCTTTTTTCTCCTCAAATGGAGACAATTGAAGTTCTTATGAGGGGAAATCGTTTTTTTCTTTTCAAATAAAGTTTAAGATATCCTTTTTTTATTTCTTGAGACTGCAAATCAATTTCTTGAGATTGAAAATATATGTCTATTTTTATTAGGTACATTTATTCTGCAGAAACCAAAAATGCAATTATGTTCTCTCTGGTTTCTAAACCTAGCGAAGTTTATCCCATCCTATCTGAATTCATGTTCATTCAGAGAAATTCTCAATCAACTTCAATCTCTAAAATTAAGTTAGCGTTCGGACATAAATTTGGTTAAAACTTGAAAAAAAAGAGTTTTTGAAGATGAGATGAAAAATAATTTTTGGAAGTAAAAAAATCCCACCTTCAAAAATTGCCCCAAAACTGATCAATTTTTATAATCAAACAATGTTTTTAAAACATTTTTGAAAAAAGAAATTATGGCCATACGGGAGCTAAAAAATTCTGATATCTCAACAAATATCTAAACCTTTTTGCTTTATACCTAATGTTACGGCCAGACTGAACTGACAAGGTATTATTTGTTCTAACCTGCTTCTTTAGACCTATTTTTTTAAAGAAATTTTGTTTGCACATGTCAACTATTAAATGGACGTCGAACAAAAACTACAGTTAACCCACTCTATAACAGTCTCATTTGTTATGATATTTTTAGACTTTTATAGTGAATGACTGTTATACACCTATAACAACATTTGACGTTTAAAGAAAAAAATAATTATTCAAATTTAAAATCTCAAAAGATATGCATATTTCACTAGTTAAATATTGAAGAAAGCCAATACATTATTAATAAATTCATAACTAAAAGTATAAAGATTTAAACTCTAAGACATACATTTTAAAGCTACCTAAAAAATAATTTTTTTCAAAATTGATGGAAGAACTTTGTAATTGTAGCTTGTTACATAGATTTTATTCTTTTACTAGCGATATAACGTTTGAATTGGCGAAGATTTGTATCCAAATTTTCAGCAAAAAGGTATCCATAGTTTTTTCTTGAAGACAATCTAAGGGTTTAACAATTAAATTTTCTATTTAAATATTGTTTGGAATTTGTCCCATGAAAAAAAAATCATGTGCAATTCTTCAAATTTTATATCTTATGCAAGATAGACACTTTATTTAATGGAAAAGATTGTGTGCATATTTTTAGAATTATTATTAGTAATCTTAAAGATTCTATATGGCTGTTATAGAGGGGTAATTTTACAAAGAAAGTTCTGCTACAAATATGGTTGTTGCTGTTATAGGTAAAAAAAAAAAAACTGTTATAGTGAGTAAAATACAACTTAAAAAATCGGTTCTGAGGAAAACTTGTCTTTTTATAGTGAATGACTGTTATATAAGAATGTTATTATAGAGAGGTGTGACTATATTAGATGGAAACTAAAGTACAAATACAGATGTGAACAATTTAAACAAAGTGACTGAAGTAAGACATCCAAGGTAGGTTGTATCCTCTTGAAGTACTATCTGGACTCATGTTAACCTCAAGTTGAAGACTTCAGTATTCTAGGAAATTTGTGATACTATATTTTTAAGCAGATAGTTGGTAATCTTATACATTTCGTATTGGTTATTTGCCATTTTCAGTGTACAAGAATGGCCGAGAAAGAAGTTCCATGTACAGAGAATGTTAAAAGCCCAGTATCCATATTCTTTAGAGATATAAGGTACTTGAAAAGTTTTTTGCCTTTTACTTTTTATTTTCTTGGTCATCAACTTATCAATCTGAAATGTGCAAGAACTTTAAGATTGTCACTTCTTTTCTTGAAGGAGCCTAAGAAAATATTTTCTGAAAATTTTAAGTTGTACACCATACCTTTACCTGCTGTAGCAGGTTGTAGCTTGCGTTATTTTCAAGATTACAATTCTCATATTTTAAGGAAGCTTATCTGTAGATATCATTTGGGCGAACTGATAGTGTAAAGATTTCTTACACTCACAGTGTATATAACTAAACTCTTTTCGGAAATGAATTTACATTTATAAGAAAAGGAGTCTAAGTTAAGAATTGACTGCATTTGTAAGGTTCTGCTTTTCCAAAATTATTTGAATATCTGTATGTAAAGCCACATCTGATATATACATGGAGAGTAAGTTGTAGTGGAGTAGGAGATGAATGTTTCTTTAATGCCAAAATAAACAAGATTTTTCCTTCTTATTTTTTTTTTATATTTTTTATCTTTTTTGTGAGCAGATCTATTTTTAAATTGGATGAGCTTGGCCAAGAAATAGCAAGGATAGCCCTACCTGCTGCACTAGCTTTGACAGCAGATCCTGTTGCATCTCTGGTTGATACAGCATTCATTGGCCATATAGGTATCAACTTCACAATTTCAATGTATTCCATTATCTTACAAGGAAACACAAAGGGATTTAACTAACAGTGACGGCGTAAAAATTTTTATACTACGTGACCTGTCTTATTTTTCAGGTTATTAATTTCACCTTTTATGGACGATTAACTGTTGTTATCTTTTAAATGATCTGATAGTGTGAAAACTTAATCACTGTCAGCAGCGTATAGAAGTAATTAAACTCAACACAAAAAGTGGTGACCATAGGTCATAGTTATCAACTAGGTTGATCATTAAGCAAAAAAAGGTTTCTAATCATCAACATAAACTCGACATTTATCGACACAGGTCCTATTGAGCAGGCTGCTGTGGGAGTTTCAATTGCTGTATTCAATCAAGCATCAAAGATTGCAATATTCCCCCTAGTCAGCGTAACAACTTCTTTCGTCGCTGAAGAAGATACCATCACGAAAGCAAGTCAGGACCTGCAAAATGATAAGATCAAGGAGCAGAATGAAGGAGATGCTGAAGCAATGGATACTGATTCACCATCAAACAGCGAAAGCAAAAGCCTGATACCTAAAAATGGTATGTCGAAAATTGAAAATCCAGGCCCAGGTTCTCGTTACACTCTCAAGAACGATGCACGTACAAGTTCCTTGTGCTTTTGATAATGACACTACCTTTTCTTTTACCTTCATATTCTACAGGGAGTGTATGCAAGTCAGAAAAGATGGCTTCTAGCTTTGAGGTTGTGAAGCCTAAGCCCGAAAAGAGGCACATTCCATCCGCCTCGTCTGCATTAATAATTGGCGCTGTCCTTGGCATCATCCAAGCAGCATTTCTAATCGCCGGAGCAAAACCTTTATTAAAATTCATGGGAATCAAACCTGTAAGTTGATCTCTGCAAAAACAGGAGAGGAAGAGAAATATCTCATTTTTTTTCCAATAGAATTCAGATTCTTGTATCCTCCTCCCAACCGTTGGTGCCGTTTTTTTTTTTTTGGGATAATCGTAGTGTCCGGGACAGCTTGCCTGCACCTCGATTAATTTTCCACGTGTTATCTGCTATCTCCTACTAGTACAGATACCGGGTAACTCTGTCCACCAAGGCTCGGACAGATGGGAAGAAATAACCTAGTATTTTCTCTGCTGGAATTTGAACCTAAGATTTCATGGTTCTCAACCCACTTCATTGACCACTAAACTATTTTCTTTCGCTTTTTCCTTTTTGCGGCAGTAGGTTATAGGGGTTGAGAGCTTCTCATAGTTTCAATTTCTGGTTGTATGTGATAATTTACAGGGCTCAGCTATGTCAAAACCAGCAGAAGATTACCTGAGATTAAGGTCACTTGGTGCACCAGCAGTTCTCCTCTCATTAGCAATGCAAGGAGTCTTCAGAGGATTTAAAGACACAAAAACTCCACTATTTGCAACTGGTAAGCAATTAGGAATATGTGACAGAACCAAACTTCCATAATCGACAAATCAAAACTTCAGTTTTTTAAGAACTAGGAAGAGGTGAATTGAATTCGACTCAGTTTTTTCTTTTTCTGTGTGTTTGTTGACATCATACAGTGGCAGGAGATTTGGCAAATATTATTTTGGATCCCATATTCATGTTTGTTTTCCGTCTTGGTGTCCGAGGTGCCGCAATCGCTCATGTAATTTCTCAGTGAGTAGATTCTAATCTCTACTGAAAGATAAAATTGTGAGGCAACAGTTCCACTGATCGATTTTTTCCGAAATGCTAAGACATATGTTCTAATTTGAATTGGTATAGGTACCTAATTTCAGTTATACTGTTTTGGAGACTAATGGAAAAGGTTGATCTTGTACCTCCTAGTCTCAAATATCTTCAATTTGCTCGTTTTCTTACGAATGGTGAGGATTTTCTCTGATGCTGTATATATATTACTAAAGTTATATTTGTCAATATAATAGAAAACTAGCACCATATTTGTTAAAATGAAGCTCTGAAATTTCTTAACTCACATTCTTATTGTATCAATAAAAGCAGTGTTTTTCTTTCTGTCCACTTATATTGTTCACTGATTCTCACTACCAAGTGTTTTAGTAAATCCAAACTCCTACAAACATAAGATAGAACATTGGTCAGAGTACGCGTTTAAGTTGGTACTCCGATCAAAAATAAAATGCACTAAATTTGAAGGATCCGACACGCACCCAACAATATTTTTGAAGAGTCCGAGTAACATAGCCGATGACTATGTTCGCTGAGCTTTCGCCGTCTATTTGTTCGCTGACATGTTGAACCACTTCCATTCACCAAATTTGTTCTGTGTTTGTCTGTTAATAAACTTTTACTTCACTGCACACTCTAAATACCAAATAAGGAATATGGTTTTAATGTCAAGATTAACTGTTTTCTGTTCATACTTATTAAAAAAATAACTAACTGATTTTTTTCCCTCTTTTTTCGTCCTAATTTCAGGCTTCCTATTGTTAGTGAGGGTCATAGCAGTGACATTCTGTGTAACATTAGCTGCATCATTGGCTGCACGGTTAGGACCCACACAAATGGCTGCATTTCAAGTCTGCTTGCAGGTTTGGCTAGCTACATCTCTTCTAGCTGATGGCTTAGCTGTTGCTGGTCAGGTGAGATATGATTTCTCCTACCAACATTTCGCCTGTCTCAGATAAACTAAACGAACAGACGCATATATAATTAAAAAGGCGGAGCCAGGATTTGAAGTTTAGGGGTTCGAGATTCTAGTCCGTTAAAAAGTTATGGGTTCTAAATTAACAATTTGTACATATTCAATAAATCTTTTAAGACAAATATAGGGTTTGGACCAAAGCTACTGGCTTCGGCCAAACCCATATTCGGATTCCACATTCTAGCTCCGCCCATAAAGACTTGTAACTACTTAAACAGAAGAAAGGGAACCATTATTTGCTCCCAAAATCAACAGTGCTTGGCTCCTTGGGTGGCATTTTAGGAAGTTAGCTAGCAGCACAGTTTGGAACAAAATTGTCGTTAACAATTTATTTTGAAGGTTAATTATGTGAATCAGAAACCAGTAAGAGATTCTTTTCACAGAGATAATATGTTTATAGACTAATAATTTACTCAAAGTTGAGGATCTCTCTACATATGTCCATCATATTGTTTTAAATATCTCAGAGTGAAACACATTTGTACTTTCATATTCACCACCATGCGAAAGCATATGTGAACAAACTTCAAAAATCCAACGTTCCTTTCCCCTTTCAGGCAATACTAGCAAGTGCATTTGCTCAAGAGGACTTCAGTAGGTGTACTGCAACAGCATCAAAAGTGTTACAGGTACTAATGTCATTCAAATCTATGTTGCTCGGACTCTCCGAAAATATCGATGGGTGCGTGTCGGATCCTCCAAAAATAGTGTATTTTTGGAGGATCTGACACGGGTGCGGCAACTGTTTTGGAGAGTCCGCGCAACATAGATTCAAATAGCAGAGCAGTCACATATATTTCCAGGAACAAATGAGCTAGTAACCGTCGAGTTCTTAAAACGTGCAGTTGGGAGTAGTTCTAGGGCTAGTACTAGCACTCACACTTGGAGTTGGTTTACACTATGGAGCAAGAGTATTTACACAAGACGTCGATGTCCTACACTTAATTGCCATTGGTATTCCGGTAATCACCGTCTATAAACATGTCATTCATACACTTACAAATCTTTCACAGTGAAAGACTTGGTTTAGAACTTACCAATTCTTCCAATCTCAGTTCGTCGCAGCAACTCAACCAATCAATTGCCTCGCCTTTGTCTTTGACGGTGTAAACTTTGGTGCATCTGACTTTGCATATTCTGCATATTCAATGGTAAGCTCGCATGAGATATTCATTTTTTGCTGTCAACACATAAACATACAATGCTCAAAAAATAGTCCCCAAGTTTCAATAAGAAAACAATAGATATAAAACTTTTCTTGTGCATTGTTAAAGATTGTAGCATTACAACACTAGTCTCAACTCGAAGATAAAAATCTTCCAAATAGAGAAGGACCCTCTTGAAGATAAAAATCTGTATTCCTGATGATCTGAGAATATTGCAATTATTTTAACGTATCCGGATCAAAGTAAACAGTTATTAACAAGAATTCATTTGATCTTCAGCTTACAGTGGCTATTTTCAGCATTGTGTTCTTGCTCATTCTATCATCAAGTTTTGGATATATTGGAATTTGGGTAGCTCTAACCATCTATATGAGCCTAAGAGCTTTAGCTGGTTTCGGGAGGTAAGCATCCTAAACAACACAGATTTAAGCGACCACACAAATGCAGAAGCACGATCTGTTTATTTTCTGCTTCACCATTTGCAGGATAGGCACTGGAACCGGGCCGTGGAAGTTCCTCAGGAGCTGAAAGTCTCTGTTAGACTGCTTATTATTATAGACACACGCACACCTTTTCATACAGTAAATTTGTACAGTAAACTGAAATTCTTTATAAGGACCAAAGAAACATAGGAGAGACCTTATAAGGCAATTTTGTTCATTGGTGTATGTACTCTTTTGTAGTTTGAGGAAATAGGAAAAAAATTGTATATGTACACAGTACTCTTTTCCTTCCATTACATTTAATTCAACAACACTAGTAAATGCAATCATTTTGTTTATTTTCCCTCGAAGCAAACCAAGTTCCTCCAACACAATTTATTACACTAAGAAATTTAACATCTTTCTTTATTATAAAGTCATTAACTTTTGCATTTTCTCGTTCACATAACTTGTAAGCTCTAGTTTGTACAAAAAAATAAATAGTTTTTGTACTCCAATACAAGACGGGGGGAATGATAAGTTACGGTAGAAGGCTGAAAGCACATTGAGCACATGGTATGAATCGTTTTGGGTTTATAAATAGAACCACCCCTTTTCTGGATCCACCTCACATCAATAACCTGACCCTGCCACCTATAGATAGTTTTAACTTTGACAGTTATACTTTTAGGAGTTGGTTAGTGTCAAAAAAGTGATGAGGATTGAGATCATACCAGGCACAAAATCACATTTAAAATGGGAAAAAGCTCTAGTGAATTCCTTGTAGACTTCAAAACTCCAAAAGAAGAAAAAGTTCAAGAAAAACGAACTCTCCTAAACTGAGACAAGAAGATTTGACAGAAAGTTATATTGCAACTCAATGTCTTCCTTTGTTGATCTTCATTCTTCATATATATTGGAGTCGGGAAGTCCTACCTAATTGCAATTTAATGGAAACATCAACCAATTGTTCTCCAAAATTTTGACATTCTTCTACAATGGAAAGAACAAACTTAGCAAAAGTTAAACAATGTTTAAGTTCAACCAAATTGCTCGGGAGAAGCATCAGAAGCATCAGAGTCCTACGACATGAGAGAACTATACAACTCAAAACAAACTTCCACATGGGATGACAAGCATGTGTGTATGTTGCAGGGGTAAGCCTACTTCATGTGCAACACAGTTCCAATTTGTCATTAATTTTAGTAACGAGTTCCCAAAAATGTCACAGTTAAAACTGACAAACAAAGTAATAACTAAGAAACTACGATACACTATTAGGGAAATATGTTAGTAAGAGGATATTTCACCAGTAATCATCTCCGGAAGACACATCCCAAAGGCATGCATATATATATATATATCAACCAGTTCACTGTATTCCTTCATCGTGGTACTCTGGAGCCATGAATTCAGGGGTACCCTTAAGGTCTTGTGCGGAATTACTGTTGGAAAGATGAATTGCGAACCCCACATCTCCAAGTTTAACTTATTTCCACCACTATGAACAAACCCATTCTAGCACTTGATGTCTCTGTCAGTTATTTTAGGATTCCAAGCCATTTCCTTCATATTTAGGTAACACCATTTTCTTTCTTAATTAATTATTTCGATGAATTATCTGTTCAGACCTAAGAAGATTATGTGAACACTTAATTGAGATCTCACTCATCAGACCACCAAGTTCGGGATGGATTGATGTAGTTCCTCTACACCTCTTGGACGTTGTTGGGATGCCGCATCCCTTTATCAATCAGCACCTTAGAAGATTTCACAAAACCTTTCAAAGTGACCTTTGTAGCTTACAGTAGAGACAGTAGCTCGGAACTTTGTCATATTCAATATCGAGCCATCTTCCATTTGGGGTTCCATCTATTTGTTAACCAAATTTGATCTACTCTCGATTTTAACAAATCAATTTCAACCTTCACCTTAGCAACATTACCCCTAGACTTGGAATAAGTTGCTAGATCAGGGGCAATAGAAACTCCAATATCACTAACCATTCTAGAAATGACATGCCATCTGAATAAACGCCATGGTAGTTGATGAATTAGAATCCAAATTGGGACAATGGAAGTTTCTTCTTCTGGTTTGGAATCCGATGTCCATTTCAAGATCTTCTATAGGAGCATCTCCAATCTCAATAAATTCTTTGAAACGAATATGATTAAAGTCGACCTCGTTAGTGAAATCAATGTACACATGCCTAAAATCAAAATAGGCAATTTTCACAGATCTGGTTAAATGAAACTTGCTGATAAAAACTTTTCTAATTTCCTCCATAGTTGGCTTTCCTCTGTAAAACCTACCAATAATAGTAAATTTCCACTCCAGAGCTAAAGCCACAAAGTAATCTTGAGCAGAAAAAATCACCGCTGGCTTACCTAAATGTGTACCATGCCTAATCTCAATAGGAGGGGTCCCGTCATTGAAGGAGGGTAAATTTGCTTGGACATCAGCAGCAAATGAGGGATTTGAGACTTCTTGATTATAGCCCATGTTCTCAGACATGGCAACAGCTCTGTTGTTCACAATTGGTGCTCTATTCTGTTGCATGTTGTTGGGTATAGGATTTTGAGGTGAGGAATTTGATAATGGTTGAGTATCTGTAGTCTGGGTAGGTTCAATTTGTTGTTTATTACTGATATCTGTAATAGCTTCGCTCCGGCGACTAGGCGATCAAAATTGGAGGAGATTTTTGGTTGTGGGTGTATGGATTTAATACTGTGTGTAATAGGGGATTTCTTGTTAGTAACGTTTGTAGAAGGATTGTCTTCAGCATTTGTTTAGACTGTGGAATTGGTGGTGGCAGTTTCTGTGGTTTGCTCAGAAATATTCATTGGACTAGTGTTAGTAGCCGTTGTGGTGGTAGTATTAGGTGGGGTGAGTAGAGTGAGTAGTTTTGGAGTGTGGATGGGTGGATTTATTGGTGTTTATATATATATATATATATATATATATATATATATATATATATATATATATATATATATATAATAGCCAAAATATATTGTTTACTCATTCACCTTGCACCCAAATCTCTGTTACACACTTGTTGATCACGAGTTTAATTTTACACACCAAACCTTTCAACAAGTGTGTAAAATAATTGACACACATTTGAAAGGTTTGGTGTGTAAAGTTAAACCCGTAGTCAATAAGTGTGTAATAGAAATTTGGGGGCAAGTTGGATGAGTAAACTATGTATTTTGCCTACATACTATGATAGGAACTTATTAATTTATTTTCTCTAGGTTTTGTAGTTTTCAAAAAGTATCTAGGTTTTTCTTACAAATTTTATACATTCCCCTTAAAAAGCTCTCATCCCATGATTAATACCTTCAATTAAGGGATTCAATTATATGTTTTCCTTTTTTCACATTTCTCCTCATTTCATGCGTCCTAGTTTTTTCAGTAAGTAGATCTCGTCTTCTCTCTCGTCGATAGTTTCACGTCTCAACAAGAAGTTGGTAATTTTGCTTCAGTTGCTGAATAATTTTGGTTGGAACCTTCAAATACTGGATATAATGCCATACTGCATATTCTATGTTCCTACTATCTTTAATTCCTTATAATGTTAGGAAAGCGATACCTAATCTAACAAATTCAATAAAACATAACTGATTTCCATAATAGATACCAAAAAGATACTTTTTCTTTGCAGCTAGAAATCTATACACACGGCATATAATGTCAGAAAATGACAAAAACAATCAATTCCTAAAAGTTTCTTCAACAATTCAAAAAATTGTTAAACTCTAGCAAAATTATTACTAATAGGATAATGACTCATACACAATCCAAATGTGAAATTAGTCACAAACTTACAATTGCTCATCACCATTTACAATTATCATACATTTGTGATACAATTTCTGCAATAATTATGATACAAATATAATTATGATACAATCGTGATACAATTCTGATCTTCATCTTTTTTAAGTTTCAATCATAACTCTAAACTTAAATTCTGATAAAATATTGTATTATAATTATATTAGTATTGTACTGTGTATTATTTTACATATTGATATATCAGATACAAGTCAAATACAATTTTGATACAATTGTGATACAGTTATGATACAATTACCATACAATCTTGATACAATTCAGAAACTTTTCTTCTTTGAGTTTCAATATGAAATTTTACCTAAATATAAATCTAAACTTAACCAATCTCCCTCAAAATTTAGATATAAACTCCAAGTTATATTCTCAATCATTTGCAAGAGCACCCAATCCAAACAAATCAAAAATTCATAATATTTACTAGATTTGAGGTTTTAATATTTAAAAAACCGACTTACTAGATTTGAGTTTTTGAAAGAAAAAGAAAAAGGCAATCCAAACCGAACCATGAACGCCCCAAGTGAATAAGTGGAGTGCATTGGAAAAGTTAGAAAGATAAATAGAGAGAAGGAAGAGCTTTTGGCAAACGTATAATACTAGTAGTACTATAGAGCCATGAATTTAGGGGTACCCTTAAGCTCTTTAACGAAATTAATGTCGGAAAGATGAATTGCGAACCCCACATCTCCAAGTTTAACTTATTTCCACCACTATGACAACCGCATTCTCGCACTGATTTGTTTACCCTCAAAATCGGATAACAATTAAATTTGTAAGTGACTTTAAAGGATATGCGGGTTAACTCAACACAAAGTAATAAATTAGGTTGCAATTGAATAAATAATGACAAAGTAAATTCAAACCACGTGAATTGGGCAATTTCAGCCTTGAAGGATCAGTCACCCTCGAGCCGGATGTACCTCGATCAGTCTCAAGATGCAGATGAATAAGAGCTTGAAGAGAAAATAATAATGTATTGCTTTTTAGTGCGTGTTACAATGTGTTTTATGAATTATCAGACCCCTTTTATATATTATAAGAGTCCTACTTTAGGTACAATTCTATAAAAGGTAAAAATCTCTTGATTTATTGATTGTTGGTTCCTTATTGATACGTGCCGAGATTCTCGAGGTAATATCCTATTGGTCACGGATATTTCGGTCTTCTGTTCGCTATGCTAACAATGTTGTTTCGTGGTCGTTCGAGGCTAGGACCGATTCTAGGATCACGACCTCGATATTCTCGAAGGCATGCGTTCCGCCCCTAGGTTCTAGCCCGGTGGGACTTGTGGTCGATCTTCAGTTCTTTATTGCCATGTCTCGAGCGTGGCCTACCATGTCGGAGGCGAGGATGTACCACAAGCTCTATTTCGACCGTATACAGATAGTCCCCTCATTTTTTGGAGAGTAGACGACGAGAAACGACATGAGCTTTTCGATTCTTACTTCGATACACCGTGACGGATACGACAAAACAACCGAAATATCTCGTCAGTCAAGTCTTAATGGAATTTAATGCATGTCAGTCGCCGGTCGTCCATTCTTGAATGCGAACCGCCCGTGAAATACTATAAATACCTCTTCCTTTTTTCATTTTAGCTTTACATCCAAACCTTCTACCCTCGTACCTTTGAAATTTCAATACTTTCTAGCACTTATACTCTGGTTATTTGAGATCCTTTGTAAGAGTTTTTGTTCATCTTCATCTCAAGCCAACAAGTGCACTCCTTTAACTTCCTCTCTTCCTCCATTGTTTTTAAATAAATAGCGAAGACTTCAAAAACCGTTCCCCAAAAAGAAATTCCTTCTACTTCGCGGCTGGGTACTGAGACCAAGGAGACTGTTTTGCGTACTGTTGTCGAGGAACCAGTACCGGAACCCCATTTGAAAATGTTCATCCCCGGGGGGGTTCCTGGTCAATGTTGATTATAAAGTTGAAAAGCCTTCCTCCGTACAAGGCTGGTGCGAGGAGGTCTCGAGGTACATCTGCTCGATCACCGAAGATGTCCTACATACGGTCCAAAAGGACTGCAATTGGGTTGATAAGCACATAGTGGTTCCCGAACCCGATCAAGCCATCACTACCCATGTCGAGGGATACTCAAGTTTTTACACTTATCCCTTTACACTGGGCCCAGTGGACCCGGTCATCATCGATTTATGCAAGAGATACGAGGTATGCCTCAGTCAAATTCATCCTTCACTCTGGAGGATTGTGATCCTTCTCCGGTTCTTCATGAGCAAGATTGATGGATGCTCGTTCACTATCGACCACATTATGCGCTTATATAGTCCCCGAATATTTCGGGGGGGATTGATAAAGCTTGTGCATCGGGCCAGTAAATTCCCGTTTCGAGTATTGATGAAGATCGGGATCAGGGCTGGCAAGGTCGTTTTGTCCGAGTGAGGACTTTGGACTTGATCCCAGCTGAGCATATGTCGTTCCCCGAGAAGTGGAATACATCACGTAAGTATAATTTTGCTTTTGAAAGTCAATTTTATATTTTTTTCCTTCCTTCTTATTGGTGCTTTGTGATGGTGCTGCTGTCGCTCGGGTCCCGAATACTGTCCCTCAACTCAAGGAGTTGATTGAGGGTATCGTATCACAAATGCCCTACTCCGAGCGCTCATGGTGCAAGCTTTCAAACTGTCGTTAGGAGGCCCGTTCCCACGGTGAGACTCCTTTCCCGAGTAGGTAATATTCAGATTCCTCTTGTGTCATTAAGTTCTCCCTCCCTTTACTTCTTTTTACAGGTTTATCCAAGGATGTTGAACTGAGGCCTCCATCCGGTGGCGAGAACCTCCCTGCTGAGTCCCTTGCTCCGAGACAAGCTAAAGAGAAGAAAAGGAAAACGACTCCGAGTTCTCCGAGCTCAGAGAAAAAGAAAACAAGAAGAAGGCTGGTGCGCAAGTCCAAAGAAAGTACCAGCGCTCGAGCACCATCTTTGGATTCACTTTATCGGTTGAGGGATAAATCTAAAGAAGAAGAAGAAACCTTTGATCTAGTGGCCCACATGCCGTCGTAGCTCGAAGGGCAAGGGCCTCCGAACCAGAGAGTGGCGAGGCCGGCTTGCCTCAAGCTACGGAGGCCGACGAGGAGGCCAGGGCCGAGGCTTCCCGGGATGTGGGCAATGCACCAAAGGAAGTACTCGGTGTGATAGACATCACCGAGTCGCCCTCATTCACTGAATCCATGTATAACGAGGCTCAGATGGTGAAAGAACGTCCCAACGAGGGGGCTCATAGGGTGGACGACCCCTTCCGCAACTTTTTTGATGGCGTGGATTTTACCGCCACGGAGGAAGTCACCGGATTGGGTGACTTAGAGGTGCCAAAGAAGAGTCTATCTTCAAGAGAAAGCGATCCTTCCTCAAGCCCGAAACTGATCAACTGTTTTCCAACTCTAAATGTGGATCCTGACCGAAAGTGATCCATCATCATCTCCATTCCGGAGGTTGCCCGGGTCCTCTCTGTCCCCGTAGTGGTGGCCAGTTACCTTCGGTGTCTGGTGACCAAGGAATACC